TTTTTACATTTATGTATCGTATCCGGTCAGTGATTGACTATTAGTGGTAAAGTTATTATCAAGAGTGGGGGAAAAAGATAGAGAGAGTGAAGGGGAAAATGTAATGTCCTGAAACGATTTTCAAGTGGTTCTGATACGTGCTTAGAAAGCACTTGTAGCTTGGAATAAAATGATTGGCATGAGTTAAAGATATTTCCACCATTTTCAAAATATCTTATTCTACCAACTTAACTATAACGTGATTTCGTATAATATCAAATGCTATGTGATACTTGAAAATGATCTAAAGTATTAGATTTTTATTTCCTTGCTTAAATTGTATAGTTTTCGCGTATCGATATTTCTCGATTTTTTCAAATCATGGTTATCGTATAGATTTGAACACATCAAAGTTGTTCACATTGTATTTAATCCTGACGTTGATATCGGCTATTTTATTTGATGTATATATTTTATCAAAGAAGAATTAAAAAAACAACAAAAATTACACCAGGTGTATGAAAAAGATGCACCAGGATTAAGCATTTATCGCAACAGTATTTGAATGATTGAAATAATTTGATTTTAAATGATAAACCCTAAGACAATAATAAACCAACAACTGTTAAACTATTATCCTTTAACTGCAACAACCAAATTAGCATTAAAACCTGTATCATCAACAATCATAATTAGAAATAAAACAACAAAATAGTAATGAACCGAGCATTTGGAAATAGTTTCCTTATATATATATATATATATATATATATATATACAAAAATACTATTATTGTATGTAAAGGATTAGTATTGACTTAATTTAGATTATTATTGTTGTTATAATGAACTTGCTGGTGTCCTAAATACATAGTTATTAATTGACGTTACTGCAGAAACCTTTAGAGGAAGGTCCACTCGGTGCCAGGAACATTCCTACTTCGTCATGGCAGAAGGAAAACTATGAGACGTTTAATTAACTCCCAGTGTTTCTAGAAAGACACTGAGAATTCAGATGCAAATGCTTATGACACGCCCATTGGACGACCCTTTTCTTCGATGTTCTCTATCTCTCTCTCTCTCTCTCTCTCTCTCTCTCTCTCTCTCTCTCTCTCTCTCTCTCTTTCTCTCTCTCTCTCTCTTTTTCTCTATCTTTCTTTCTCCATCTTCGACTAGACTTTGACGCGTGTTGTTCCAGTAGACTTAAATGAAAACTCTTTTGGTCCCTGTTTATNCTCTCTCTCTCTCTCTCTCTCTCTTTTTCTCTCTTTATCTCTCTTTATCTCTCTTTTTCGCAGACAGAGAAATCATCGACTGGTGCTGAGTCGACAAACTTCATCGAGAGCTTATGTTGAATTCCGTATCGGGGATTACGGATCGTTCCTCTTCGTATTGGGGTGCGTGTGTCCGTTTCGATATCGCAAAACGCTCGATTATTCGAAATGCCAATTATTTGTTAGATAAATGAAGATTCATTTTAAGATTGAAAGATAGAAAGAAATAAAACAAAAGAAACTAATTGAAACGAATAGAAACAAGAGGTTTCTTTCCCCCCCCCCTTTTCTTTTTCTCCCCCGTATAATATAATATAATTTTATTTTACATTAGGATTTATAATAAAAAATGTAATCGATAATTAATTACGTTGATTATTAACGTCATCTCGTAATACATAAATTACATAAAAAAAAACTTGACTTGACTATACGTTTTCGGAACAACCGACTATGATTCTTCTCTGTTAGATTTCTTGGGGGCATTGACGAGAAGGGAAAGAAAAATGAAAAAAATAGGAATATAAAGCTGGAGGGGGAGCTAAAGTTGGGGTGGGGGTAGTGGTATAGTAAAAAAAAAAAATTACTAAATCCTATCTGAATCAGTGGTCCATTGAACGGTGGTTTGATATCGTTGAAGGATATCTCTGTTCCTTTTGAAAGGAAACCCCCCGATGGATTCGAGAAAGCGCTGGGATTCGCAGTGCTAGACGATAAGTCTCGAATCAGGGTGGGTGAGGGTTCTTTTAGAAAGAAATGCTAAAAGAAGAAGAAGAAGAAGACGAAGAAGAAGACGAAGAAGAAGAAGGATAAAGTAAGAGAGAAAGGGATAAGGTTTATTCTGACAATACATTCGCTGAGTTGTGCTGACTGACAGACAGTTCCTGTCTACCAAATACTCGAGCAAAAGCTACACCTATCCCTTTGTGTATCGGTTTTCACCCTTCGATATGATTCAAACTACCCTTTTCTCTCTCTCTCTCTCTCTCTCTCTCTTATACTTTTTCTTTTTCTATTCCTATCTATCTTTATTTCCATTCTTTTCTGTTTGTGTGTTTGTTTGTTTTGCACGAATTAGTGCACGATTGTAAAGAAATATTAATATTACGTTTTTAATTGTGACCAATAAGTCGTTTTAAAGTTTTATTCATTTGTTCTTGAGACTCTTATTTTATATTTATTATTTTTTTTTTTATATTAAAAATATATATATTATAATTAATATAAAAAGAAAGTAATTATATAAGTCCTTTTTCTTTTTTGATAAAATTAATATTATCAAGTATTCGTTTGTATGGTGTGTATATTCATATTAATTTATGGCTGACATTTAAAATTTAATTTTAATTGCCTGTACGCGGGGGTCAAGGTTAAGGAAGATAGGAGGGGTTGTTAAAAGTGCAATAAAAAGGGTAATAAAAACAAGTAAGAAATTAATAAAATAGAATCACGAGGGATACTTGGTCTAAATTATTTCTCTTTTTTTCCTTATGAAAGATAAATAAAATGTTATTAGGTCGTGATTATTCGTGGTATCTCGGTTTTATCAATTTTCAAACATAGAGATAGAAATAGAGAGAAATAAACATAAATGTTCTTAAGAATACCCACTTGAACACAGAAAGAGAGAGAGAATGAGAATGGCATCAGAGAATGAGAGAATGAGAAAGGCATCAAATCTCTTGCAAAAGTTTCACAGAGAAAACCTATTAAAGAAAAAGTTTTAAACGAGACTTAAGAATAAAATCTCTCTCTCTCTTTCTTTTTTTCAATTTTTCTTTTTTTTTCTTTCTTTAATAAGAATTTTCGAGTGGAAGAGTTTAAAGTTATAAAGAAAGAGATATCGTTTTCCTACGATTTGTCAACGTTTAATTCGATAAACTTTTATTATATAATAATAAAACTATTAAGATATTCAATAGATACGATCTATTCGTTTAAAAATCAATATAATTTAGATTCGTTCTAAGTGTTATAATAATAAGAATTTGTTGTAAAATTTTATATAAATTTAATCGTTTCTTGGAAACATCTATTCCAATATTATTTATTGTTACATCACGCATTAAAAAAAAAACATTGTCGATGAATATTCCCACTCGTTAAAAAATACTATCAAAAATAAAATATAATATATCTATAAATAAAGAATAATAAATCTTTTTAGGAAAACCCCTTACAGTCATGAATAGTGTACACATAAATACACCCACTATCACCACCCCTTTTTACAATACATATAACCGATAATCGTTAAAAGGAATATATATATCAAGCAAAAGGTAGTTTGACGTATAATATAATATGTATGTATCGTCAAAGAGACACTCGGTATAACAAAGAGAAAGAGAAAGAAAGAAAGAGGATCTAGGGTCCCTAGGTAGGATGGACATCGGGCGCGTTTTGCGGTGACAGAGCGTGTCTGATGGAGGGTTGTCACGGTACGGGAGCACCCCTCTCAGAGTTCGATATTAAAGCTCTCCTAATATAAGAGCAAAAGCTCTCTCTCTCTCTTCCTCTCTCTGAAAAGCTCGATATGCTCGTCTCAAAGCTACCCCTCGAATCTCCATTCAACGAACCACCCACCAAACCATCCCAGGACAACACCCCCTTAAAACCTAGCGAGTGTTCGCGAGTATATATATACAGTCACGGACTTGCACACTTCCTACTGAACCCCCCTCCCCCTACTCCCCTAGCCTACGCTATTCTACGATTATGTCATGACTGCTGTACTACTACCAAACTCTCTTTACAATCACCTACACCCCTCTTATATCAACCCCTCTCCACCAGCCCCTAAACCTTCATCTTTAGCTTCCGTATCCATCTCACACGCGCCATTGACCACGAATACGCCCATCCGATAGGGCCCACGGAACTTCTCTTTCTCTTTCTCTTTCTTTCTTTTTTCTTTTTTCTTGTTCTACTGAAAAATCAAGTTATCTCCATTCTCCGTGCATCGTGACGCTTCAAATAAAGGGCGGCACTGTCTAGGGGTTGCCAACCCTCGCGTTTTTAGAGGACTCAAACTGTTCTTTCTTTATTTTTCTTTCCTTCTTTCTCTTACTTACTCTTATTTCATTTCTTTTTCTTTCTTATTTTAAATCTTATTTTTTGTTACTTAGAGATAAGAGAGATTAAACGAGTTGATGATGGTGATGGCGATGATACGTTTATGGGATAATCAGGTTTTTTTGGGTGGGGGGGATTAGTTTATTGCTGAGTAGTTTGCTTTTTTTTTTAGGGTTTTATAAAATTTGTATTATATTTAATTATTTTGATAAGCAAATATTCTCTTGACCGAGTTGATTGATATAGTCTAGTGTTAGAAATTTATTTTATTTTATAATAATCTATAAAATAATTTGTCTTTTTAAATAGCTGATCATGCTGTTTAATGGTCATCAATACAATGATCAGTTTATTATTGAATTTTTGTTTGTTTGTTTTGATATTGTAATCATTATGATTCCATTATGTTGATGGATTTATTTAATTTTTCGATTCAGGTAATTTATGTTGACCTAAACGATCATCAAAATCATTTTAATTGATACGTATTATAATAATTTAGACTTCAATTGATAATAATTAGACTGTACGGTCTAATATAACTTCACTGTTAAGTTTTTCTTTCTATTTTTGTTGAAAATTGTTGTGAGTATAGTTATGTTTATGATTTCGTTGTGTTGATAGTAATATTTTTAAAATATACAGATACATAATAATTGAAATGAAAACTTACGGTAAATCTTCTGCACCAAACGCTCAGCCATTTAATGTCTCGCAAACGTTTCCCCTGTGGTAACTTTAAAACAATGTCGGTATTGTCGTACGCCTTCAACACTGGTGGATCTCTGGGAAATAGACCAAAAAATTCGTGTTATCGCGTTTAATTATATTATGTACATATATATATTTGGTCTCGTGTTAATTTGAAATTGTTTATAATTAACATCGAAACGATAAAAATAAATTTTACAGACATTTTTGTATGCGTTTGTCAATAAAAAAAAATTAACTGATTAATCTAACAATTTTATTTGGATTCATTTTATAATGAAGGGTTACTTTATCAGAATTAAACAGTTGGTTGATTAATCAAAAAAGAAAAAAAGAACAAACAAATTAAACCATGGAACAGTGGGAACTTTGATCTAACTTATCTAAGATAAACTTTAAACGATTTAACAAACTTTAATCATTTTCATTGACGGACGTAGGTGTTAAAAGCAAATATCTTTGGATGAACCAAAGGAAGGATAACACAAAATGAAGTTGCGGATGCGGTCGGAGGATATATTTAACAAAAGGTTCGAAGTTTAAAGGAATTGAAAAGACAAAGGTAACAGTTGATGATGATTTTACAAAGGTTTCGTACGATCTTGTCAACATTGATTTATTTTTTGTTTTTTCTTTCAATTTCTCGATTCCCTTCTTTAAACATTTTAACCTTCCTGGTCCTAGGTTCAGTACTTTTCAACTGTCCTTGTATAAAGCTCAAAACTTTTCAACTTACCAGTGTGTATTAGGTTCTCAGAACTTTTTGTTTTATTGGAAATTATTGTATACTGAATTTGACTACTTTTGCACAGTGTAAAATTAATAAAACTTTGATATAATGTTATGTTAATGATAGCAATAGTAATAGTAGTCATAGTGTCATAATGGTATTGATAGTAGTGATTATCAATGTGGTGATGTTAGTTGAAGTTAGTAGTAGTAAACTAACATAAGTCATAGTTGTATATTAATAGTAATAGTAATAGTGTTGAGCAAACGCGATAGTCTGTAACCAACGAACGTTATGAAACTTAAAGAACTTGTTGTGTTCGGGTAGCATAGAACCTAGAAGGAAAAGTGTGGCATATATACTTGTGTTGAATAGAAATATATACATATATATATATATATATATATATATAGAAGAGAAGATAGAGATGGGTAGAGGGGAATTGGGGAAATTGTAAGAAGTGGGGGAGGAAGAGGGGAGGTATTTCAAAAGGGAAACGGATAGAGGGACGAACCGGACGAATGAATTGCGAGTTGGGGACGCTAGCAGTTAATAAAACGGGAATTATACGCCGATCTCGTCCGGATTTCGTTTCTGCGAGCACTTTATTACGCTCCGAATCATCAACCTTATGCAACTCTTACATATACGTCCTCGCGCGTGTCCTTATGTTTCGATGATGAAGAATAAAATAAAAAAAAAGAAGAAGAAAAAGAAGTTAAGATCCTATGTAGAATTGTGTGTAATAAGTTCATTTTTCTATTTCAACTAATTATTCCTTAAAATAGATTATTTTACTGTTTTTTTCTTTTATTTTGTAATATCTTTGTTTCTCTTATACGCGTATTGGATTTAAGAATTTTAGAATATTAAAGAAAAAAGAAAAAAGAAAAGGGGGATATTAATTAAAATGTAAGTTTGATTATGGTGTTAACAAAAAGTAAAGAATATTATTTAGGATTAATTAAATGTTTCCAAGTGGATTAAGAAAAGTCTTTAGGAGAAAAGTTTAACAAAATCCTATTTCTTATTTGCGATGTTTGTCGATTTCCTTGTATTTTTTTTTAAATAACACACACACACACACACACACACCGTATACTCGTAATACGTGAAAAAAAAAGAAAACAAAAAAAAGGATTGTTAACTTTGTCGGATTATTTAACGATTTGATTGAAATTTGTAAAACATAAGATTACCTGCCCTTGTAATCTTCAGGATAAGGTACGATGTAACCATTAGGGCTTGGTCTAGAACTGTTACCGACCCAAAAATATGCATCTGGACCCGTACCATCATAAGAGAATCCTTTTATGAATATCGTAGTGTCATCTGCGGCGTATATAATCCCTTTGATACCGTGAGCATATTTTGCGAACGAACCGATCTCTCTTCCATAATAATTAGTTCCATTTCTTGCCTGTCCTGAAATCATAAAATTAATAATCAAAAATTAAATCATTATTTTTAATTGAAATTACAATCTCATAAAATCCAAACTCGCCGCGTTGTTACCTTTCTTCTCGTGCATACATGCATACATACATACATACATACATACATATGAGATGTAATAAATATGTTTGTATATTATTTACGAATTAAATAGTACACAAATTCGTGAACAACTAAACGCCCGTTTCAAATTCACGCAACCACCAACCCTACCCCATCCCACCCTCTCCTCTCCCCATTTCACCCCGTCACAACACCCCACCGGTGGAAATAACGCATCGTCAATTTAATACAAAAGTGGATAGAATGAAGTTAACACGATAAAAGGGGGGAAGCCAACTCTATAATGATTTGCATGAATATTTCATTTCATTTGGTTATACGAATATCTTCTCGTGTAATAAAGGCTTTGTATCCTTGCAAATAGTCTCAACGGATTTTATATTAATCTTTTATATTAACACTCATTATATTAATATTTAATATATTTTTATCAATTATGTAGAAATGTTCGTAATAACAGAATAATCATTTTCGTCATGAACTTTTGCATTTGGAAATGAAAAATTTGTTCTATGCGTGTAAGCTTAAAACTTTATATCAACTATCAACTTCGACCAATTTAAATACCTATAGTTTTTTAATTGCATACAATTTTTTTTATTAATACCCTTACGTAATATTATTTTAATATATTAATTTTTTTCTACTTTCGTTTCTTTTTTTTTTTTTCGTTTCCTATTGTATTTCTATTTCTTCCTGCAATCAAGAGGATTATTCAAAGGGACAATCAACGCAAGGATCACGCGACACACACGTTCGCATGTCGATTTACAATGAAACCAGCTTGGACGATAATTAACGCTTCGTTCATGTCGGTCTTTATCTAAAATGCATGGTCAAAGCTTTTAGACCACCCTTCTATTCTTTCCTCTTCACCCCCACTTTCCCTTATACCATCGTTTGAATAACGCTAGTCGACACCGATCGACTATTTCGTCTGTGTTTTTTTTCTTTTTTCTTTTTTTCTTTTTTTTTTTAGTCTTAACCCCATCCCCCTTCGATATTTTATTTATTTCGTTTTAGAAAATTTTCGACAAGGCTTAACATTTTTACTGATGGCATCTATCATCATTTGAAAAGAAATATCATATGTCAGATTATTTATTTTCTATTTAAAATGTATATACATATATGAATTGTGTGTGTGCGTGTGTAATATTTTCTTACTAAATTTATTTCAGAAAATAGAAAATGCATTTTATCAATTCATAACATTAAAATTATTTAAAATATCTAGTATAATGATTTTAATTTAATATATATAATAAAAACAAATATATTCTAAATTATTATAATAATTATATATTTTCGTATTACGTAATTTGTTAAATAGGCACATACAAAGATTTTCACAAATTTTCGACTAAAAAAAAAAGAAAACTCGCAACATTTTTGTGAACACATTTAATTCCCGTTTAATTATGTATATATAATATTAATATTTAAAAATATTTTATACGATCTATTAAGTAAAACATCATTTGAAATGAATAAATATAAAGAAAAATGTGATTAGAAATTAGTTGAGGATGAATTAAAAAAAAAAAAGAAAAAGAAGAAAATAAAAAAAAAGAAAAGACGAAAAAAAAATAAGGAAGAGGTACGCTAATCAACCGGCATCCCTTCTCGTGTTCGGTCTTTAGCCAAAAGTCATAGACGAGGCTTTTAGTTCACCCTCGCCCTTCGAATCTACCCTTCTCTCTTTTTTTTTCCATTTACCCCGTTCGTTGGTGATCACCGTTGTCAACCAAACCGTGCTCTTGAAAAACGACTCGCACTTTACCACTACTTCTTACTTAAACGTATTCTACCATCCCTTGTGTCATCTTTTTCTTTCCTTTAAAAAAAAAAATTCCGTTCCCCGTTTCGTCCCCACCCTTCTTCTTCATTTATAAAAGGAACATGGGGTAGGTGGTGGTGATGGTGGTGGTAGTGGAAGTGTGCAGGATATTACGTTGATGTGACACTGAACGCAATGATCGCTATCTGCTTGGTCATGCGGGGGTGTCTAACCACCCCTATGTAGTTTAATACACACACACACGTAATATACAACGTGGCCCACGTAAAATGGTACCAAACGTCTTCATCGTTATCACTGTGTGTCTATTGAATTTTAATATATATTTTTTTTCCTTTAAACCTTCCTTTTTTTCTTTTTTTTTTTTTTTAAATTAGATAGTAACTTTCAATACAATTAATATAAATCGCGTGAACTATGAAGTTATAAGTTTGGCAGGTAGGTTACAACGGTTCTTTGATTGAAAATTAAAATTATAACAGAACCATAATTAAAAGTTGATGAATCTAATGAATATACCATTCATTACATTTCGAACATCAATTATTATCTCCGCTATCGATAATATACAATGAATTTTATAATATATAATGTTACGTTATATTGATTATTAATATTAAGAACAAATATTTTGACTGTAACGTATGCAAATAATTATGCATCAATAGCAACGCATATTCGTCTTAATGTTGAATCATTTTGAATTATTTAAAACATACGTTGTTCTTCGTATCTCTTTGATGGTAAATGTATTTATTCGTTGCGTTTTTATCCTGCGTGTTCAAACGCGGTTAATAAAACAAAGTAACTATGTAAATTGTTTTTGAATTAGAACACTTTGATGTTGGTTTATTTTACGAGGGATAACACGAAACAATCCAAATAATCGAATAAACTTTTTTAAAATAAAAAAAAAAAAGAAGAAGAGAAGAAAAGTTAAATAAATATATTTTGAAAATGTCGAGTTTTCAAAGTTAATGGTGCCTATTATTAATCATAGACATTTAATTTTAATATGATCCCATAAGGACAAATGACTACATTTACTTACACATACCTAGACTCATATGTAACAAATACTGGCACGATTATGTGTCGGTGTGAAACGTGTAGTAACCAACAGCATGTTAAACTACCCCTGACTGGTGCCTAAACCGTCTTCCCTTTTATTATGGGTTCCGACGGTTATTGGATTGTACCATGCTATTTGTTGACTGCCACGCTAATGGATCCATAATCACCGCGACGAATTAACGCGTTAGGAAAGCCCTAAGAAAAGGGCTGCCTTATTTGAAATATTTTAAATACGATTCTTTATCTATTTATTCTACTTTTATTTCGGATCTTTCATTTGTTCGTTAAATTTTTTGTGATATATACAATATTTAGAGAAAAGTTTTAATAATGATCAAAAATTGTTCTGATCATCCTAATTTAATTCTGTTGCCCTAAAGAAGGATTGATTTGCTTGAAAGAAAATTTGTTATTTATTCGTTGAGTGTTCACCATTTGGTTCCCGAGTTCTTGGATGATTTTTATAGGACAATTTTATGATACGTAAACGGTTGATTTTAATGAGTGTTATTTAATCTGATCACCCGTTATATTATGATGTATTAAATTCATCATACTCCTCGTGATGTGTGTGTCCATTTTCAGTCGATTGTTATTTGTTGTTTTTTCTATAACGCATCCCATTCTTTTCTGAGTTTTCGAATAATGTCAATTCTATATCTGATACCAGATTATGCATACATTTTTCTGATCATTTGTTACGGGTCTATTGAACTCCCAATGATACTCAACTCATTCATTACGATGACCATTTCGTTTTCAAACTGATTTATATTTCAATTTTTATATTATATTGCGTCGGAGTTGCGTTTATTTTTAAATTAATTGCATTTACCATTCCAGGAATCTCTCTCTCAAATTGTGTATATAGCCCAGTCAATAAGAGGTGAAGGAAAAACTTTCAGGTAGAAGTTCTCGACAGTTTGATACAAAGGTAATTCGACGTCGCTGAATCGAAT